CCTGTTTTGGCCTCAAGCCCCAAATTGATGTGTGTGTTTTATATATATAGGGCCCTTTAACCATCTCTTATTTTTCTCACCATTCCAAGCCCAAGCGTAATGTTCTGGATGGCTATATGGTTTGCCTGGAGAAAGTATGAAATGAAATATTTGTATGTGAAATGGTTTATGCAAGCAGTTAAAATGGAGGGGAATGAGTTAATTGCTGATATGTAAATGTGTGTGTGTTAGCCCTCAACCCCACCCCCACCCCCCACTCCCGTCCCAGGCTGTGAAAGAAACAGTAAACTGCAGATTTTATTGTTGTAAAAGTAAATGGAAAACCAATAGCAAGTATTTGCATGAGAAGAGTCTCATGGAGGATGTGTGAGAGAATTTATGGAAAATGCATGTGAAGGAGAGAAAACTATTTTTTTTAGTAGTGAGATTTTTGTAAAATTTATTTTTCTTTTTTTTTCTCCTGTCTCTTTTTTCCCTGCTGGCTGTGTTGCTTTAAGAGTGAGAGAGACAGAAAAAAGAGGGGGGGCTGCTCGTTTTAACTATTTTTTCTCTCTTTAGAATTCTGGTTTGAGGAAGTGGGATGGATGTGAAATTGAATGCCCACTTTTGCAGTTTCAGCTTGCAATTCTTTTTTTGGGGGGGGGGAAGACAAGACAGTAATTGTTGGACAACCTTTTTTGGGAAATTTTTGAGTTTTAAATTGTTTAGTTAGACCTATATATCCATCAACCAAAAGAAATGACTAAATTGTTTTGCTTAGATTTGTAAATGTTTTACCTATTTAATGGAAATTTGTTTCCATCTGAATGAAATTTGATTAAATTGGAATTTGACTAACTTTATATTAAAAGCAGTACTAGCGTTCGATACAAAACTATTTCAGTAACTCAGAATATCTTATTAAGCTTGTTTATTTTTTTGTTAAGTTAAAACAAAGAAGTTGAGAAAAAATTGGGCTTATAAATAGCTATTTTGACTAAAGAATTGTGTGCAAAACTGTTAGAAAAAGAGATTATGTTAACAAATACAAACAGAGTTTGGTGAGTGCTCCTTTGTTGCCTCTTCACTAGGTAATTTGTTTGTAAATACAGACAAAGGGATGGCTTGGAGGAGGTTTTGACCCAGAAGTGGGGGGAAAGAGGCAGCCAGTGGCATTTCTGTCTAAAGTTGACATTTGGGAAGTCTTGGTGGCTAAGTGTGGGTAATTTTAAATCAGAAAGCCGAAAGGAGGTAAACACTTGTTCATAGCAAAGGAATTGGGAAAAAGAAAAGA